TTTTCAAGCGTATTAATTGATTATAGAACAGAGAGAATCTCTTTGTCCTGCAGCCAATCAACGGGCTTGAAAAGCTTGACTTTACTTACACCGAGTATTTAATACGCGTACTAGCTAGTAACTTTCTATTAAATTATCTTAAATTGGACGATGCGTGGTAAACGTATACACGATATAGCTATTTAATCATTCATATAGATGCATAATATTGTATCAGCTTAGTACACCATTCTCTAAATGTATAGTAATTAAGATTATTTAATAGAAAGTGCTCGGTGTAAACTAGAACCTTGTCGTACGATAAAAAATGGATGAGTGTAATATTAGCCTTACACGTGCGAATCTAATCGCAAGAATTTACGAATTGTGCGTGCGTGCGTAAGAGAGAATCGATAAGGCACACATAATACATGGCTGCGTCGCGAGTATGAAAGACGAAAGAAAAAGATGAGCAATATGAATGCATATGAAAAGAAATACAATGACGATGAAATCAGGATTGAACGAGAGAGAGAGAATGTGTCCGATAGACAGCATGTGTGTGAAAAGTGTGAGGAGATAGTGCGAAAAAAAAAAAAGTAATAAAAATAATTAATATGAAGGATCACAGCGTTGATCCATTCTTGTTCTTCGGTGAGGGACTTCGACCGTGCGAAATAGCGTTTTTTTTTTTGTTTTGTTGAGGGACGGAATCGTGATCCGCGCACGGCGGATCTGTCGATTACATTTAACGTCTATCAGCAGCTATTAAATAACCGTATCGAAGAGCTAATTCAGCAGGATCGAGACATCGGCGGTCCTGTTCTCTAAATTCTTTGAAAGTAAATCTCATTTTAACAGAGTGAAAATTTGTTTCAAGAATGGCAGAATTTTAACTCTTTTTTTTTTTTAGAGTGATAGAATTTTCACTTTTCTGGAGTGAGATTTCACTCCAAAGAATTTAGAGTGATCATTAGCGTGCTCCGCGCCGATTGTCGCGGAGTCTCGCGGGCGCTGTAAATTTACTACGTGCGATCGTACCAGTCCTGGAGTACGACGCTTTGTTGTCTTACTCGGATGTGAGACGTTCTGTGTCGCCGTATTCTCGGCGGACGTATACGAGACGCGTCGCGACGTGCGATGTGATTGCAATCAAATCGCCGATTTATGCCGATGTAATTTGGACGGACGCGCGTCTCATTATTGTGAGATGCTGCTTCTGCGTTGCCGCGCGGCTTGCAGACTCCGCTTCACTCGTCCCGCGTACGTGCACACACGCTCAGGAAGGCACGTCTGTGCGTCCGAGTCGAAAGACAACACACACACAACACATACACGCATACACACAGACACACACGCACATGCATACAAACACACGCATACAAAGATAGATCAGAGAATATTATCATATATATATTACATATTATATATATATATATAAATATGTTACACGCGAAGAAGGGAGGTGGTTGCGTGTAACGCGACCACTCCGCTCCCCGATCTACGTTTCTGTAAGATCATTGTTTCTAGCGATTTGTTAATTTGATTTTCATCTACGACGAATTGTAGAGAGTGCAAAAAAAAAAAAAAAGCGATCGTCGTGATTACAAGTGTGTGTGCGTATTTGTCTCGCAACTGTTGCGCTGCCGACGCTTTCGCATTCGTTCGCGAGCTCGTACGACGGTTCTTTTTAACAGATTGATTGCGACAAGTCGGGGCGATTTTTCATAGCGGATCGCCGGAAATGCAAAATGCGTCGGAGCGCAATCGCGAATGCGTAAGAGCGAGCCGAGTGAGTGTGAGAGAGCGGCCCTCGTCGACCGCCCTTAATTTCTTCCGATCTTTGTTTTTTTCCCTACTATCCTTCTTCTCCCCTCTACTGTCCCCTCCCCTCCCCCCTTCCTCTCCTTGTAGTTCCTTTAGCTTCAAGTCTCACCGATATCAATTCGAGCTATTCCCCGATTACTTTACGCACAATCGAAGGAGTAGGGAACAGGAAACGGAAAATAAAAATGTTAACTTATCAGAAACCCCATGTACGATGTCTGAGAGATTCAAATTCTTATTCTCTGTTCTCTGTTGCTATCTTTTCCCTATTCCTTTCATCGTGCGTAGGCCCTTACTTGTGTCCCTTTTTATTGACTTTCCTTGTAGCATCACTTCGCGACATCGGGATTATCTTCCTACGGTTGGCTCCTGCGCGTGCCAATTGAGTCGCGAGCTGATCTCTTTTTTTTTTTTTCCCTCGGCCGTGCGCGCGACCGAAGCCCCGCTTCTTTATGTTCTTTCGTTACTCTTCTCGTTGATTCTCCTTTCAGTTCTCCCTTCTATTTAAATTTTTTCTTACCCTTTTTTCCCTCTTCAACGCGTTTTGCTCCCGTGCGCGGCCTCGGTCGCGTCGCGATCAACTACGCGACAAACTATAACTATAGAATCGTGTACAGTCGACGTAACGACTTCGGTGGACGGCGTTTCCCTCGATCTCGCGAACCTCACTTCCCGGCGTCCCGATCTGATTCATTCGGGAAACCGTCGATTTGTCTCGTGGACGAGAAACAGACGTCCGCAGCGCGGACGAGACTCTCGGGAGTTTGCCGAGTATGATTCGGGGCACCGGCGAGAAGAACTGGGGATGCTTCCTGCGGTGATAGAATTGAGACGATAATAATGATAATAGTAATAACAGCTGCGCCGGGAACGTCCACGATCGTCGTTACGTCGACTCGAAACGATGACGCAGAAACGCGCGTTCGTTCTGCTTCTCTTGTCTAGAATGTGAATGATAAAGAAGAGAGAGAGATTGATTTAAAAAGAAAAGAAAAAAAAGGAAGTAACGAAAAAGCCTTTTTTCTCGGCCGACAATGAACGGCCGAACGTGGAGGAGGATAAAGATTGATTATATGCTAAAGAGTAAGCGATGCGCAATTTAACTATAACGAATTGATGTAAGCGAATGGAAAAAAATCAATACTTTTCATTGAGATGATATCTGGATTTCAATAAACTTGATACCTCGAAACCAGCCGGACAATCGACCCGGAGAGCAAGTGGTGTTACCGGTACCCGCAGCGGTGAAAATCTTGCGAAGGGGTAACCACTAGCTGAAGTATTGTCCCACATATTATGATCTCATACAATTTTCATTTGATTACAAATAATTTTCTTCACTGCATATAAAGTCATTTGGTAAATTGAACGATTTTTTCCAATATTACACAATAATTTCTCGTGGTTGCATATATAATTGTCGGATTACACATAGAAACTTCATATAAATTTTATAATTTCGGGGATTTTCTGTCCCACGATATTACCCCTTCAAAATCTTATCACCAGCGTTACTGGCGACTCTCTTCTCGATGGGGCTTCTTATTTCACTTCTTATTTCACTGACTTCCAACCGCAGTCCTATTCCGCTAATTATTTTTGGAGAATGCGCGTTTACTCGTTTTTACTCCCAAAGATTGTACAATTTTTATAATCGTGACATGAGATAAATGTTTCACTGACTGAACCATGTATCTATGTCCAGAGATACTTGATAATATTTATTATTATTAATCTTAAATACTTTTTTATTACAATATTATAATTAAATTGTAATTTTCTTAATACAATTAAATTATAATATATTAAAAAAAATTTTTGAAATTAATAATATACAATAAAATATTAAGTTTTGCATAAATATCTCTGGATGTAGTTACATATCAGGTCACAGGGATGTTTACCTTACTACCAAAACTTTTTCTGATCTCGCGCGTTTTTCTAGATCAAGACGACGACCGAGAGTACGGACTTGTTATGTAAATCGTTGTACAAGTAAGTATTATATTATATAATTGTGCTCGAAGTGCGTATCAAGTCCGAGTGCGTTGACGTTTGAAAAACTTTGCCGTTTCGCACAACCTCGAGGCAGCACGCAGCAACAGCGCAAAAGAGGTTTGTCAAGAGGTCGATCAACTCTGAAATAAAGGAAAAATGATGTCTTCGAAAAAAAAAGTGTCTGAAGGAAGAGAGAGGAGAGAGCGAAAGCGAAAAAAAGAAAAGATGATAATCACGAGACAATCATCGCTCATCAGCTGAATACATAAAAGTTTAAATATGGATATATGTGTTGCGTGTATATAAGGATATATATATTTTATCTTTCTTATTTGTGCATGATCTTATTGCCGTTTTGCAAGACGGAGATGAGGAACATGGAATGGTGACTATACGTGACTATTAATACGTAAATTGGATTGTCGAATGATATGATCACAAAGAAGAGTACTGTCAGCGTTTCTATTATTGGATATAAATGTGTCAGGAAAAAAATGTTATTGCGTGGAAATAAAAGCATGATGTGACGACGAGTCAACAGGAAATAAATAACTTGTGGATGTAAGTAAAGATACACGAAACGAGAGAAGTTCAAAAATTAAAATCTAAGTCTAATCTAAAACCGATGTCAGAAGAGACACAAAATCGAGATGACAATCAATGAAGATCAGCCTGAAAATTATACACGACCTCAAGGACGTTTGGAGAGAGACGTCGATTATGAAAGCTGTGCTTGAGCTGTGTGTTGCCCGGAGCTTTCTCGGAACGTACGCGCATGAAACGCGAGATATTATATAAAATTCAAAAAGTAATAGAAAACAATTGCGATTGTGACTGCCAAGAAAGTCCGAGATACGTAGATTCTAACTCAACTATTCTCATTTCCATTTTACGAAGTATTATAAGACTCACAATTTCTCCGGACAATGTCTGAATGATAGACACAGATTATCAGGACCGTAATCGGTATGTAATATGGTACTGTGTAAAATATGTACATACTTGGATATACAGAAAGAGAGAAAGAGCGCGCGACAAAAAAAGAGATAAATGTCAATTGAGCGAAAGAGAGGGAGAGAGAGAGAGAGAGAGAGGAAGCTGATTGCATAATAATAACCATCGTCCAGTGATATCTTCGCCGAATATTCGAAATTTTGTGATTATTTCATTCATCAATCTTTGTATGTTTCTTTCAGAATCCGATAATGAAAGTGCACCGTCGCCTGTAAAGTCGCAGCCCAAAGTACCCTACTGCAAGACCTATGAGCAGATGAGACTCGAAGAGATCCAGGCAGAGAGTGCGGCTTATTACTCCTATGAGACTGGCAACTATGGACTTCAGGGACAAATGAGCAAGACAATCGGGACTAATCGATTCAGTCTATCGAAAATGAAGAAAGAAGAATCGTCAAAAGAATTGGACTTTAAGGTATTGACCCTGGAGGAGATTCGCCAACGAAAGAAGGAAAAAGAGCTGGTGGTTGCTAAACCACCGACGGACACAACGTCTGTCTCGAAACCTTCGTCACCAATCGAAGTAAAGAGCATGAAAAGGCGTTCGATCGAAGAGCATTGCGATAAAGACAGTGCTAATTCGGCGAAGAAGTGCAAGATTAGTTCTGAAATCGCTATGAGTAGCGAATCTATTATTAAGGTGCGACCGATAAAATTGCGAAGATCCTTGAAAAAGGAGACCGAAATACAACCATGCGAAGATGTAATTATGAATGAACATTTGCCGATGGACAATCAGGACGATCAAACCTCTTGCCGCGAGAATCAGGAGATTCACAGCGATAAGACATCCTACTGCGAAAGGCTAGAAAACTACGGCGATGAATTAGTTAACACTAACAGGAAAGTCGACGTAGAGATTAGCCTGTGTGATAGTAGCACGAACGAAGAGAAAACTCAGACGCAACTAGAACAAGCATCAGAGAACAGATCGGTTGCCACATATACGAATGATGATATGAATACCTCGTTAATAGACACTAATCGGCCGTATATACAGACCGAGGAGGAGTACCTGCGATTGGATACTTCAGCCGAAGATATTATGCGAGATATCGAGGATTTGCTTAAATAGAAGAATGTGATTCGATTTTAGGTAAATTCACACACGTGAATGAATAGTCTTATTCAGCATGCATTTCTTTTTTTTTCATTAAGTTTAAAAAGACCTTATATAAAAATAATTTATATACTTAAGCACTTGTACAAATATAGATGATACGAAGTTTACTCATCTAGCGAAAAATAGTATAGTTACTATTTATACACGATTATTTGATCAATTCTTATATTCAAGTTCTTAACTTCAGCGTATTATATCGTATCACGTTCTTCTTTATCACAAATAGAAATTGTGCAATGAATTTCAGTATTTACATTTATCTGACATTTTTGCATCTATGATGTAAGAATACCAAGTGTGACAGTCTTTGGATACGTAGTGGACTAATAAAAAATTAGTTCCAAAATCTGTAAGCAATACTATAAAACCACTATGAGAAATTTGTCACCAATCAGAAATTAGCCCTAAATTATATTCAACCTCTATTATGCGCAATAGCACATTTTGTATTGTTACATCATGCTTCCATTTATCATTTTCGTGTTCTTTTTTTATTTCTACCATGAAATTTGTGAAAGATTGCAACAATGAATTATCATAAGTAAAAACTTATGAGAGTCTGTAAGGTCGGTTCTAAATGACAGTCAATGTACACTAGTATATCAATGTTAACAAATATTACATACACACAACACACACACACGCACACGCACACACACACAACAGGCATAATTATCCATTTTAACGAATGTATGTGAAGATAGCGTATATTGGCCATGTCATCTGGAGTCACCTTAATTAAAATAAAATGTAATGATCAGACTGATACGGAACGATACGACTTCTGTTACGCGTTTCAAGAGTAAAATATGCACAAGTGCATATGAACTTCTTCCATAAGTAAAAACTTATTACATTCTATGCGTATAAAGGTTCTAAACGATATGATCAAATACGCCAGTGTACATTGATAAATATTACAAACATACATACATAATTGCATGCATAATTATCCGTATGAATGTAAGCAATATTTAGCGAATATGTGTACAGTTGGCGTATATGGCCACGTCTTTTGAAATCATCTTAATCAAAATAAAATTTGACGACCGGATTGATATGGATTCTGTGTTATAAGAATAAAATATGCATAGATGTATATAAGATTCTCTTTTAAATACTTTTATACATAACATAATAAAAGAGCAGCATTGAACTCTTTTCGATATTTACACTCGACATCATTTATGCCTTTGCATATGAGAATTTAAGCCGAATTGAATACGTATATATTGTATATACGTTGTATGTATTGTACATATAAGTATGTATATATTTTTTCGAATTCCAAAAACGTTTCTTATTTTTATCAAATTGCAATAATTATAATAATATAATTTACATATTACATATATAATTTAAATATAATATGTATATTATATATATTAATATATATATCATATTTTATAATTATTGCAATTCGGTATTATATAATATATATAAGTTATAATAATTATGACTTATATTTTTGCGTTTTTTATTTTTATTAAATTGCAATAATTATAATATTATATACATATATATATATACACACATATTATATAATATAAATGTAATATAATACGTATTTATTATGTGTGTGTATAATGTATATAATGTATGTTATAATATACAATGTTTAATGTTATAATTATTGTAATTCGATATTATATAACATATATAAGTTATAATAATTATAACTTATATAGTTATAATCCGAAACATAATTATGATTGTTGTATAATGATTATGTAAACGATATTTAACAATATATGTTACATATGTTTGTGATAATGATATATATGTGTACTGTTGCAATTTATAATATTAATATTATTCGCTGGCTTAATCCTTGGATTATTTCTGCTATTTAATGGTCTTCTGACTAATGACGATTCTGTAAAGATACAGAGAAATAATTAAACATGGGCATTTTTGTATAATCCACATATTAGCTGCTTTTAATAACTCTTAATTATAATTAATTTTGTCGTTTAGCGTTTATTTAAACTTATCCCTAAGTGTTGTTTCAGAAGTAATCCAAGGTTAAACGCAGATCGCAATGGATTTCTAGTGAGGATTTAGAGAATATAACACGTCTTCGAGTGTAAATTAATTATTAAGTTGAAATAAATATACATTGTTACATTTGCAAGATAAAATGATGGTCTCTTTTTTGCTTGCAATCCGCTTTCCATTATTTCCTACGAATAATTCGATTGGTAGGATGACAATGTGGGATAAGAGATAAGTACAAATATGAGTTATCGGATCAAGACAGCGAGAAACGGAAATAAGATATGAACATGTTTCGGGAAGGAGTTGCGCTTGATTTCTAATAGGAAACTGCACATGATTGTTATTTTTTGCTTAATAAATTGGCGTTAGATATAGACATGTGTGGCTGACTCTTCATATAATAAAGATTTAATATTTATAACAAAAGAGCGATTACCACACGCCGGAATTTCGCAAATAAACTCTCCAATTAGAAAACAAGCATTGAGAGCACTCTCGATTAAATGCATACACTATTTATTTAGAGAACGTATAATCGTATTTAAGAGGATGTTGGAGTTACCGACGGAACGCGCATTCGTTCTTTTCCAATCATTTCGTTTTTTTGGTACAGAATAAAAAAATCTTTTCTTAAAATAAAAGAAAAACGTAAATAGCTGTGGGAAAGTATAAACCTGTATGAAAAACAAAAATGAGATAAGTTACAGTTTTTTGATATTGTAGATTATTTTATTTTGTTCAGATATATATATATATATATACAGGGTGTCATTAATCGAGCGAATCACCTATCATGAGCAGATAGAGTAGAACTGAATAAAATTTTCCACATAGTTGAATAATGTATAAGAAATATAATGAGACTTTCAAATTATAATTTTAAAGTTTACAAGAGAAATAATTAGAAAAGTACGATCTGAGTGTACATAACTTAGCATTCTTGCAATATATAGGATATAGAACAGCAAGAAATGTACGTAATGTTTTAATGAATGGTTTACTTAATGTGTATGTACATACGTAATATTTTCTTAATGTATGTAATGTTTTATTTGAAATAATCTATTTTATCGGCATCGATTGAGTTCGCCGTTGCTCCAGATGGCTCCAGATGCTCCAGCATCCCCTTAATCTGACCTAAGAAAAATCACAATCGGTATGTTCGGTTTTTTGTCTTTTTTTTTCGTGAACCTTGCACCGAATATAAATTACGAATTGGCTTCATCAATTTATAAGAGAATTAGAGTCATTTATATATATAAAATAATTATATATATATGTATACATATACACATATATTTATGTATATATGTACATGTATATATAAACGAATGTCGATATTCTCCTTACACGATGTACACACAAGAAACTCACGTTTATTATCTCCTGGCATTCTTGTTTCACGAGTATAAATAATAACACAATATCGACTTAGAAACTATTTTATTTCTTCTCTTCCTGCTTATAGGAGTTACACCTACGAAACGTTGCGAATAAAAACTCTCCGCGGAAATCCGCGGGAGCGATTCTCTTTTTCTCTTAAATCTTCGCGCTAATTATTTTTACACGAGTTGCACATTGCCGACGATTCGTATTCTTTTTCTTTCTTCTTTTTTTTTTATTCTACCGCGTCTCACCTTGCTCAGTTCTATTTCAAAGATGTCTCGGCTCGGAGATATAATTGTACGAATTAAAAGGGAGCTTACAAAGGTGTACATATGCAGAGGATGCTTTGAGAGATTTTTCCATCTCGCCGATCATTCATGTATCATGTCATATGAAAATCACGGATTGTCACAGATTGGTGTATTAATACGGTCTAACAACGATTGTGTGTTTCTATGACTTATATTCTGCGATTAATAACATCGAAATAAAGAGGAGAGTGTCTCTTCGCACATTACGATATCAAACACCGTTAGTGAAAGTGTGGGAAAGCAGCATTAGTCATTCGCCTATGATAAGAATGAGGGTAAACATGATCGGTAAGTGTCGCAATAGCGAATGCGGAGATCGATTTTTTTTCAGCACGGGACACGGAAATTCGATTTGACGGCGATAAAATTCACGATTATACACAGAAGTCGATTAATCTGCCTGTAAACTCAATGCGTATCTTGTATTGTAATTACATGAGCACTATACACCGTAGATTTGTCGCCAGTTTACACAAACGGAGCAGCCACGATAAAGCCATTTAGTTAAAAATCTAGTTCCTCGCCTTCATCGGAGGTGACGTAACAAACTGAGGAGATCTTTGTGTTTCGGATGATCTTTATTCGTAAGCGCCAGCGAATTCGCAGTGACGTTTCCTCGTTTTTCGAAATTAATGCACTCGTTTGACAAAAAATAAAATAAAATAAAAAACGAGAGTAGAGCGGACGCGAATACGGACAGATCAAACTCGTTTCCACATGGAACTTTGGCTTGAACGAGACGTACAGCTCACTTCGATTTATTTTATACTACGGAACAGTCGCACGCATGATCGACCATAACGCGCGGATTTCCGGAGACTTTGCGCTTCACGATCGCGTGACCGTGTGTCATTTTCTCGTACGCAACACGGACCGTAAGTTAAACAGATGAAGAAGCTCAAGTCTACGGAGACGAGGTCGACATCGACGACCACCACGGTCACTGCAGCCTCGGTGACCAATATTGCGCCGCCATGTCGGGTGCCGGTTGACCTGGTACCGCGATCGGCACACTCACGCCAGGTGATATTAGACCTGCAAGAGAATCCATGAAGCGTTCTATTTAATTTTATATAAAATTTTATATAAGAATTACAAAAAATTAATTTCATAGTTGATTTAGTTTTTTATAATAATATATTATAAATATATGTATTAGTCTAATTAGAATATATGTCACTAGATATGACAAAGAGTGAACAATATAGTTACGAGTATTTTTATAAAAATTTCGATTTATTTTTTGTATGTGTATGTTGTCTTCTTTTCGTATCTGTTAGAATATTATTTCATCACTTCATTATTTCATCGTTATATTGAATGCCATGTTGATGGCATCATCAATAATCGGTGCTACTAAAAATGCTACTAAAAAAGTAGATAAAACTCGTAAAAGAGACATTTGTAATTCTATAAATATAATTAATAAAATTGAAATAATAGTCTAAAATAATAAAACACGCATAATAATTTAATATAATTCAATTATATCATATACAACGTTATTAAAGTGGCTATCTCTGTAGTAAAAATTTCACTCTAGCATTGTTGCGGAGATAAGAGAATTAAGTATTGAGTATTTTTAACATATTAAGAGGCAATTAATACGAAAGTAAGTAAAAACATTTTTCAAAACCTCGATTAATTTTTTTTTTTTGTTAAGTATCATGTGTATACATATAAAATGGCATTAGTGTTTTTCTCGTAATTATTTCATTTGAGCATCTTTAAGATAAATAATAACAAAAAAGGCGAGAGACGTTAAAAGAAATAGAATAGCGGGTTGAACAAAATATTTGCAAGATTACGCACAATACCTTAATAATATGAATTGCACATCGATTTATTTAACATCTACGATCAGCTAACTATAAGTATACCGAATAGAAACGGCAAGCGCTCAGGCGGCTGATGTATGCGATGCGGGTAATGTATACGGACATGAAGCTCTAGATCACATTTGTACTGGATAAAGAGCAAGTAAAGGAGATCGGAACGATTGAAACCGATCGGGGGGGGGAGGGGGGGGGGAGGATGAAACATTCGGGGTGGCGAGGGAGTGACAGAAGCGTGTATAATCCATTACCGGCGGGCTCGATAGCGTGTTATCCATGGTAGCCGTAGTAGTAGTCCATCGGCTAGAGTGCAAGCAGCGAATGCAGTGAGTGCGGTAGACACTCACCGGTCGAGCTGGCGTTTTGATTGTATTGATTGAGGCTCGCCGCGTGATAGGGCTGCGTAGGGCTGCAGGTTGGCCTGGCGCCGTAACCAAGATGAAGAGGCTCGTAGCTCGGTGGTCTCGCGACTCCGCACGAATAGCCATTATCCCGTTGCTGGAGGCACGCACCAGGGCTCGGTCCGACGGTCATACCCACGGTCATACCCATTGGGCTCATGCCACCCCCGGTGGACAGCGAGGACATGCTACTCGTCGTGTGCTGGTTCTGTTGGCTGGCGCCCGACATCGTGAAACTCGGCATCGACGTCATCGGACTATGAAGGGAAACGATTTCGTGAATGTGCGTTCGCGTGGCCCTAGCCGTTTCTCTCTCTCTCTCTCTCTCTCTCTCTGTCAGAAATAATTCTTTACGAGGTGCAAAAGTGAGTAACATGTTTCGCTCGAACCGATATGTCTTGATGACGATGGGAACGCATTATCCATTTTAGTATCACGTAGTGTGCTGTTTATTTTTCATTCTTAATAAGTTCCGACAAGTAACAAGTATTAATATATAAGTAACTTGTTACCAATAAGTAACAAGTGTTATGTTGTATTGTTTATAAATCCTGATTTACAAAAAAAAATTGTGTGTTTCTCATTACTTTCGGAATAACTCTCGCACATTGCGTCGATAAGTATATTTTACATTATTATTTTTTTAATATTATTGTTGCCTTAGTTCACGCAATTAACGTATTTATCTTTCTTACTTCGTTAGTACTTTATGACAGTCCACGTGTTACGTTTCTTCAATTTTTTTAGTTACTGTTATTATTATTTTTTTTGAGTGTGAGAGTTTTTCTTTGACTACGTTCAAACGAAATATACGAAGTTTAAATGACTAAATATATATGATGTATAACTTTTTTAAATAAAATTAATTAAATTAAGTAAAAGTAAGAATGGATAATTAATCGCAGAGAGCCAAGCATTGGATTAATATCCATCTCGAATAGCTTAGCTTTCAGAAGATGAACATTATATTTTTACATTCTCACCTATACGAGTCGGGCATGCTGGGTATTCCGGGATACACAGCAGTGGGTGCGAATCCGTGGTGTATTCTGGGAGGCGAGGGTGGTGCCTGCGGAGGCGGCTGGCCCCCAAGTATCCCCGAAGGTGGCGGCGGCGTTGGATGACCAGCACCTACCAGGCTTACACCGGCAGTGTGTTGCTGTTGTTGTTGCTGTTGCTGTTGCTGCTGTGGTGGCGGTGGTGGATTATCCCTCCGTTGCGTGCGCAATTTCTCCTCACGCCGCCACTTGGCCCGCCGATTCGAAAACCAGACCTGAGTTAGTGAACGAGAAGACAGACGAAGATACAGGTCAATCGCTAGGCTACGGATAACTTTCGTACGTATCGGCTAACGTCGTGGATAAAACGATTCGTCGTGGAAACTCGTTACTCTCTGTGAAGATCTCTCAATTATGTAAAACGTGTCGATTCTAAGTTAACTAAACCGATCTTTGTGATCTTCGATCTTGGTGGTCGTGATAAAATGACCTGTAGTGTGTATATATACACGCGTGGAACGATATGGAAATGTCAAATGTTGACGTTGGTTTCAATAAGAACGATTAAAAAACAAAATTAGCTAGAAATAAATAAATTGGAGCGATAAAATTATAATTACAAAAAACACCATTTTTCTTCAGAAACTGCCAACCTGTTGTTCTTATATAGCTATTATCGCAAATTGCAATTAGCATTTTTAAGAATTAAAAACACAGCGAACTTTTATATTGAATTAGAACAAATAAAGGAACCTATAAATTGCTGGTGAATATTAGAAAAATTCATTACGCCTTTTAGAAACGATGATTAATTTGAGGTTTAGAATAATTCAACTTGAAGGCCATTGAACGGGTACAATTTTTATTATAACCTTGATATATTTTACGAAATATCTAATTTTCTCGTAAATCATCATATACTGTCCTCGTCATTCATCCGATAATTTCGATCCTTCACTCAGAGAAATTAGAATATATTCTAAAATTATAATTTTGGCATGAATAATAAATATATAATAAATTATATAATAATAATATCTCTGTAATGTAACCCACCAGCAATATTATTCTTTTAAGGCACAGTTGATTTTTTATTGTGAATTTTAAGAAAATACCAAGAAATTTACGAATGAAATTTTATCGATGAATCTCTTGGTGTCCTTTGATCTCTTTAGGTAAGCACATATTGTGAAAGAAACGGGCCTAAGCAATCTCATGGTGCAACGCTGCGCTGAATAGTCACCTGTATTCGCGCTTCCGGTAGGCCGATCTTGCCGGCAAGTCTTTCCCTGGCGAACACGTCCGGGTAATGCGTTCTTTCGAACTCCTTCTCGAGCGCGTCGATCTGCTCGTTGCTGAAGCTCGTGCGATTCCTTTGCAGTTTCCTCTTTAGGCGAAGACGCGCCTGATCGTCATCGGCGCCGCCTGACACGCTGCCAGCGTTGCTATTGTCACCCCCGCTATTCGTCTCGTCCGAGTGCGCGCCACCCTCGAGCTCGGTTACTGTAATAATAAAACGCATCGTGCAATATTATCAACGTCTTTCGCGCGAACGACTATTACAGGCAATCTTGAGTCTTCTTTTATCGTGTTATATAGTTACGATGATAATTTTCGTGCTAAAGGCCTCTTTCACGGATTAACTTTCGAAGATAGAATTCAAGAGAGATTCATCGTTCAGTTAAACTGAACTTAAACACTACAAACAAGCCGTATATCTTTAGAACTTCGAAGTTTATCTACTAGGTTTTAATGTCGAATATTAAACGTTACACAATCGTTCAAAACGAGATTCGTCTCTAAAGAAAAAAGATCCATCTCTCAAAAAAAAAAAATCAAAGAAATTCTTCGCAATTATCGGAAAAATTTCTTTCGAATTAATCCAAAGTTGATTAATAAAAAAAGTCACAAGTTAGTACATAGTACTTACATAATTTTTGTCGAAATACCGATAAGCGTTATCTTCTCCAAATCTCTGTCCGCGATATTACTCGGCGCAAGTTAATGCCTTCCATCTCGACAATGGCGATGTATTATCGATATCAACGTGCGTGATAACGCGTCGCACGATTTGTGGTTTCGCGGCGCTTACCCTCCTCCCCTTCCCGAGTTTCTTATATCAATTCCTACGTGCGACATGCGCTCGCGCGCGTATCTACGTGTGTACGTGTGCTTGCGTGTATACGTATCGGTGTGCGTATGTGAACGAGCGAGCGAGAGATATAGGCAGGCGTCGCCGAGTGAACCTTATCGTCGGTTTCTGGGTGAGCGCGTCGAGGCGTCACCGAGCTCGCTACGACGACGAGGTGAGGGGGAGGGATGGTGAGGAGACACACGGGGTAGAGCGAGGAGAGGATGACGAGGGTTGGAGGAAGCTACAGGCAAGGGGGTGCCTGATAAGACGACGGGCGTCCCGACGCCAGTTGCCGGCCACCCCCACGAGATACGCCACTGTCATTCCACGACTACCTCCTCTCCGCTTGGAGAAACTGGAGTCAGAGTCTGGCCCGATGTGACACGTGACACTCTGCCGCTATTGGCTGTTGTATTCTACTAATCAATTCCATTCTACATATTTTTGTACAGATATGTACAGTTGGTGATAAGAAATCATAATTTGTTTATTTTTCCCGTTTTAATTTTGACTTCAGTGAATCTTATTTATTTATACATTCTTTTATTTATATATTTCATATGTATGTGTGGTGGTATACGATTGGAATGATAAAAAATTTGCTCTTTATTCATTGATCTATTATTACACAATTATCTGTGGACACACAGTTTTATACCATATGTATTTTAGGATTTAATTTAATTGTTTTAAAAGTAATCTTGTTAGATTAAAAATCAATTAAGAGAAATAATTCTATTTTTTTATCAAAGTGGATCTTGATGCTTAATAATTTTAATATTATTAATGTGTAAATATTTTGGAAATATTTTTTTCAATTTTATAAATTGCGCGCCAGTTCGCGTGGTTTGTCGAATTTGAAATGCAATCGCAAACTGAAGCTGAATCATTAATTATTTTCTTAAATTAGATTAATCGTCAGTTTCTAATAATGCTAATATAAGCATCTTACAAGTCTGCAAATATCTTATTGCAAAAAGTATCACCTCTCTCAACGGGTAAAAATATTTTCCAGTTGTTGCAATATATTCGTGACATATAAATAGTAAATTGCAAAAAAGTTTCGATGAAGATGTCACTAATATTCAGTTTACAGTACGATAAGCTGTGGTTCTTCGATATGCCGTGCTGTTTTTTCTAAATTCCTCTCGATATACGTAATAAGTAACATCAAGAAGTTGCAAATAACTGTTACCGCTAAAGTAACATTGTCGACATGGGATAGTACATCACGTTTTTCCATATATAACGTCAGATTAGAAGCGCCCACGAAACTCGAAGGTACGAACGAAAACGTCCGTAATAATCGTCGTATAAGCGGCAAAACCCGGGGATACAACCCCGTCCCTCTCGAGCCACCCTTTCCTCCTCCACGTGACTCGCTCGAGGAAGTAGCTGGCAGACGGCCACGCTAGTAGCGGCAAAGTTCTCGCGGCTCCGTAGGGTTGGTGGTTGCCTCGAACTTCCACCCCCGATGTACCGTGGAGAATCCGAGTGCGACGTTAGCGTACAAGTTCTCCGGTCCTCGTCCCTCCTTCCCCGTTGTCCCCGAAATCCCCCTCATCTCGTCTACATCCTTCTCATCCGCTAGCCCTGAGTTGCTCCTTCGTAACCGTGCACTGCAAACGATATCCTTAGGGGCGGCCCTCCGTCAGTATATCTGTACGGTACGGGGTTAACGCTAGGAGGGTGTCTTAAGCGATAATTAAAACCGCCTTAACCCTCCTTTCCTTCCCCATCCCATTCCCCCCTCTTTCCACCCATCCCTGTGAAATTCGTGGAGCAACTTCGGGCCTTCGCGGTTGCTGGATCTTGCGTCTTTACTATCACGGGGCCAAGTCGCGCTCTCCTCTCACGTTGCTCATCGCTTTCTATGTGTGGTATACACGCGAGTTTAATGCCGACGCGGAGCTCGAGCGTTTAAGGGAGAGAATCTAGAATTCTAGAGCATAAGAGCGTACAGGAGTAAACCAGAGCACGACCGTCAATCAAAAATATCTATACACTGTTTTCATGATATACCCGAGTCATTCGAAGATTCTAAGATGAGAGAATGGAATAGAATTTATTCTCTTCAGTATTTATACGAAGCTATGAAGGGGAATTGACATTTATAATACAAACATTGTTCCTACCTTACTCATTCATCCATATCTTTCTCACACGCTCTGCCACTTTCTATCCTTTTTCTTTTCTCTTTTTTTTTATCCTTATTACTGCATTTCTATTTTATTTTTGATCAAATTTATATTATTGTTGAAGATGGTCAAATATAAGCCAAAATGTACATTTTACATCTCATTAACTTACATATAATATAATATGCTTTTAAATTCTGCACATTAACATCCGCATTTGACTCTTATTAGGCTATATTTTATCCTTTTTATCATTATATATATCTAAATTCCCGGTGATATAATATATAATGTATTGCAATTGAATTGTTAATAAATTTTCCTGAAATAATGTCAAGTTATTCAAAGTGGTTTTTTAATCATAAATTTTAATAACTTGTCAAATAAACGATAATTTTAAGGATTAAGTATTTAAATATTTTAAATAGAGATTATTATACTGAGTATATATATTAATTGAGGAATATTGTATTCACATAATATCAATCGAAAAATATTTATTTATACTTTATATAAGTACATATATCAACTCTCTCGCCTGAAGTAAATCGATTAAATCATATGAAATAATAATATATATTAAGGAATATACATTGATGTCTATGAATTATTTGCAGGAAATAATTCACTCAGCGATTTCCCTTTCAATCCTTTGATACATTCATATACAAATTATTGTCCCGAATCTTTTAGCTGCGGCGACATATCTTTGTACCTTTTAATGAACCGAATCTCTAAATCTCTTAGAGATTCTAAAAGTGTCATAGCTCCAAATATGTTTACGCGACCTGCTACGATAAACGAGCGAAAACAAAAAGAGAGAAAGAGAGAGAGAGAGAGAGAGAGAGAGGGATGCGGGAAAGAGAAAGAGGAAGGATAGAGAAACCCTTCTAAAGCTCCGTACTAAAGAACGTTTCGAAGGCAGGAGCTAAACGGGGGACTATTTTACCCGTGGAGGGGAATCCATGCCACCCAGGCAGCTTCTCGTCCCCTCTTCCTTTCCTCACCCGGTGTTCCCCTTTCCCGTTTCTGGCCCCAACCAGATCATTCGTATCTTCCTTCAACGAATTATCCACCAACCGGGACTGCCGTGCGTTCAAGCGTGATGGCGGAACTATTCGAGGTTTAATCTACCAACGTTGTCGCCAATGCATTCGATATTCTTTCGATATTTCTTTCGCGCAAGAATGTTAATATAATTTTTACAGTTGACACGCCTATACAGTTTATTGCTATGGGCAAAAATATATACCTATACTCGTATAAATAAGTAGCTTTGATAATAAACAAATCAAAATTACAATAAAAAGTCGACATTTTCACGAATTAAAAGATGCAACTAATTACGTATTCATTATCTATCATAATTAATTATTTCTATACTTATTGTATAATTAAAATACAAACTATGTAAGTATAATATACGTAAAAATATATTTGAAAATAATTATTTTTTAAGCGAAATCTAAGAGTCTAATAAATTACTTATTTCATCTGAAAATACAAGAGAAAGAGACCTATTTCTTTTTTATCTTTTAGGAGCTCTATTTTCTTCAAATTCAAACGATAGCAGATGTTTTACATTGTTTGAAACATTCGCTGGTTTTATAAATCGAGATTGATTTGCAATCGCTAGAATGCACCGCTCGTGGTCGAGCAGAGTTCGAGGAGTCGCGCGCGCACGACTCGCAGAGTCGAGTGGCGATCGACGGGTAAGAGAAGGAACGTTTATTAACGTCGATAATGGGGCGGTGTGCACTTAGCTAAACGCTTTAAAGACTACGCGGGCATTGTCGTATGAACGTATACGCGGCCGTGACAATGGCGCGCGCTATTACGATCTCGTGGCATTGCATCGTAGCGGGCGTATCGGCAGTTTACTTTCAATCGTCGCTTGCCGAGGGGGAAAGGATCGTCAAATGCAGCCAGTAAGAATAACAAGAGCGCAAAAAACAAAGGACATCGGGCAGAGAAAGAGAGAGAGAGAGAGAGAGAGAGAGAGAGAGAGAGAGAGAGAGAGAGAGAGAG